AAATCGTAAAATGTTAAAGGGTCCCACAAAACGAATCATGAATAGGGCTCACTTACGGCTAGCTACACCTGTGGGCTAACTATTTGATTCATAGTTGTTTCCGAAATATTTGTTTCCAAGTCGTTATTTGTATGCTTATATGCTTTTATTAATTAATTTTTTCCCGCTGCAGTTATGCAGCACATTTCAGTTATTAGGACACGGTCACTTATCTTTTTTGTTTCAGGGAATGAGATACATTTTTAAAAAATTTGGAATATTTGGTTTTTTCCCCTCTATTCTCAGGGACATTATCTAGTGAGGGTTTATTAATGTCTCACTTTTCAGCAACAAGAGGGATATTGGTGATGGACTTCAAAATTTTGAGCCCCGGCCAAGTAACGATGATAACACTTGAGCTAACATCCCCTCCTTTCCAAACTACCCCACCATATCCACAAGAGGACTTTGAGCCACGTGAGATTTAACAATTATCGGCTCCTTTGCAAGGTACTAGAGCTTGAGCCAGTGTGGCGCACACAAAAATTTTTCAAAGGAGGAGTCCAGGGTCGAAAGTCCACCATTTTGGTATCACGCTCCATTACGCCGCCCAGCATATTCTTTTGATTTTGTCAATTTTCAGGACCAAAACCAATACAAAATTAATTATTGAATAAACAATTAGCATTAATTAATAAAATTAATTATTGTTAACAAACACATAATTAAATTTTACGTAATATATACGTAGGATTATAACCAATTGAAAAAAAGAAATCAAAGACTATGGGGGTCCGGACCCCTAAGACACCCCCTTGTTGCGTCACTGGCTCGAGCTCATGGCAGGCTGACCACAAGCTTGTGACCATAACCACTAGGCTACTGCGGCCAAAAGGCCTACTGGAAAACATGCTGGCTGATCGCTCTTACAATTTAAACTTGGCGGTAAAGGTCACGGTTTCTATTATCACGATCGAAAACAGAAGACCGAGCACAAGTTTCACTACCACTGCAAGCTAGAACAGAATGCCCAGAACTTTGACACTAACGGCAGCACAAAAACTTTTGGACTAAAGACTTATAGTGAATAATTCAAGTGTGGTATTTTTGCAGATTTTTGAAAAGAGAGAGTAAAAGTGATAAATGTTGAGATTACGCCTTTTATAAGGGGCTTGAATGCTTTGGTTTTTAAAGGTTTCTAGAAAACATTTTCTCAGCCTTTAATCCATTCAGGCGGTCAATAAAGAAGTACCAAGCTTGCTTGGGAACTAAACACTGGGAGGGGGGGAGTTCACGTCAGACTGACTACTTGACCGGGAAATCAGCTCATGTACCTCATTGCCCATGATCACGTAGATTGAGTTGGACACAGTAGGCCTTTTCCCTCATGGGCTGTTGAGCCACTAAGTTTATTTTAGAATATTATTTTAAATATCAGTTCCTGAAATTATACCACATTAATTGCACGAGTTATGGGGATAAATAAAATTTCGGTATTTTCAACTGAATTTAGTTTCAAAATCTGTTCTGTTGGGCTTAAAGATCACACGTAAATAAAGAAAATATAGGCAAAGTTTCCTCTTTCAGTAGTTTTATTTTTTTTCAACATATAGAATATAGTTTTTTAGATCAGAATGACAGAAATGACTCGTAAGAAATTAAAAAAATATGATCCCGAAAATTTAAAAATTTACTTGAAGGCTAGCGCCAGAAAAGTTTAAGTGTTTATTGTCTCATTTAGGCCTCTGTCAGGGTGCAAAGAGGTTAAAGGATTGGAAGGAAAAGAATATATCTTTTGTATCCATATTTCGAGGCCTCTAATATCCTTTATCCCTCCTAATATCCTTTTGTCGGTCTCCATAAATTTCAGCCAATTAAAATGATTGTTTCCAGATTCCTCAAATTCCCCATCTACCCTGAATTTCTACATTTTTCTAGAGTGCCAAGCATGACGAAAGATTTCTTCATCGGATAGTCAAAAATAAGGCAACTCTTCCCATAACATACCTACTGTCTAGCCGTCTACAATCAAGGCTCAATCTATAAGACCTTTTAAGCGGAATGTATTTAAAAGCCTTCACCAATGGCCATATAACTCACTCGCCCTGGACCCTTCTCCCCTCCCCCTTCTCATGCCCAAATAGCAACCCTCGCAGGAAAGACTATAAGGTTGGCACTCAAGACCCTTAAATCAGGGACTAGATCAGCGATACTCAACCTTTGGCCCACCGGGCCTTTTAAAGTGGCCCGGCCGTGGCTCATTGTTCTGAGAAATTCATTTATTTATGAAAATTTGGTGGGAAATTCTTTGTTAAGAAATCAAATGTATCAATTTTGCTTTTTGCTGTCGATAACAAATGGGTGCGAATTGATATTTTCGATGTGTAACATCTTTCCACTCGGTTGCTGGATAGTTGTTGGGAGTGATTTCGTGAAAAGGGACGGATGTGTGTAACAGGATGTGACGTAAGCGCACACTACTTGATTTGACCAATGAGAGTGCGTGGTTGTGTCTTTTCGCTACTCTCGCATGGGGATCCAACCCTAGTAGATATCAAGCACTCGAGCGCTTGACTCTAAATCCGTTAGTCATGATATTGGGGGACATAAGTGAGTCAGAATGCTTATTTGAAAATGGACAAACAATAATTTCGGTGTGGTCGTATACATTTCTTCGAATCAAACAGTTAAAAAAAATTAAAGATTTCCTGCATTTTGTACTTTTACCACATAACGAGGTTGGTTCTGCTCTTTTAAAGAAATTATCATTCGCTTCCCCTGATTTTGAGTGGTGATTTTAACTTCAGTTTGCCAAAAGCTGAGCCTCTCATAGCTTTTTTGAATGATGAATTCAAGCTCGAAATGAACACAAATTAGAATGTTTCGACTGCTAACAGTGGTACTGTTATTAACACTGTTTTTCAATGGTTTTTAAATACTTTGAAATCACAAATGTGTCATATTTTAATTATCATAAGTCTAATGTCTCCGCTCTTCCCCAAATTGAACAAGAATAAGTATGTTTGATAAAATATTGCATTACTCCATTTCTTAATTAAATACAATTTTGATTAAAGATATAATTATTCGATAGAAAATTATTTCCAATCATACCAGATTCATATTTTTTTCAGGAAAAAAAAATTAATATTGCGCATTTACCACGATAATATGTCAGATGTTACACATCATATGCGACTACTGTAAGACTCGTTTTTTTTTCTGTTTAGTCATAATAGACAACAATGGAGTAGCGACCCTTTTATGAGTGGAACTAATTTTTAAGTATCTTTCATATCTTGCAAGCGAAAAATATTCGAAGAAAATAGGTTGCTTCAAGATGATTGGGACGTTGACTATATTATAGTGAAAAACAAGCAGGAATCTGTAATTGTTTGATTTGTCACGAAAGTGTTGTGTTTAAAAAATACCACTAAACACAGGAATCATTCAATGGCACGTTTCCTCGAAGATCTTTTTCAAGAAATGATAAATAGGCTTTCTCTTGAATAACCTTAACAACAGGTAAAAGTGTTTTGTTAGTGATAATGTCACAGGGGTAACAAAGGCATCCTATAAAATTTGTCATATTATTGGTAATCGTATGGAAACCGTTTACTGACACAGAAATTGTGAAGGAGTGTGATTCTTAAATTCCTCCAATTTATATATATATATATATAGAAAAATTTAGTGAGAACAATAAAAAAAAACATTAAAAATAATAATTCAAAAAGCAAAATGGGAGTTTTAATATTTTTTATCAATTTTCCCCATTTTGAAGTTTTTATGTTATCTTGGTCTTATTGGAACATTCCCCCTCCTCCCCCTCGAGTAATCCTCATGTTGCAGCCCGCGTGAAAAAGCTATCATATGTATGCAGCCCGGCAGAAAAAAAGGTTGAATACCCCTGGACTAGATACTCAGAGAAAAGATGTCGATACGCCTACAGCCTGTTAATTCATTAAATGCATTTTTTGTTTTGTTTGTTTGTCTTATAAGCATGTAATATACACACACACACACAAATAAAGTCAATTCCTACTTAAGTCAACAAAGAAAATTTTTTATATATTTTAGTTACTTTTTATTAAAACATTACAATTAATATAAATATGTACCGTAAAATCCGGCGTATAGCGCGTCCTTTTAACACAAAAAATAAGATCGAAATTTGCGGGGGCGCGTTATACGCCGGGTATGAAAAATGATAGTTTCGAAAATAAAAAAAAAAGAGATGAGCATAAGAAAAGTTAGACTTCAACATAGATCGGAATGCTGTTTATTTGAAAAAAAAAATGACATATCTTATGAAATTAACGGATTCTAATTCTAAAAGTGTGTGTATATACTATTTTTTTAAAATATGGGTTGATTGATTTAATATTAACGTCGCACTGTTCAGCTACACGAGGGCTTTTGGCGACGGACCACGTAATTTTGAACCATGGTCAAGTGACGTGGACGACACCTGAGCTGGCACCCCCTCTCCTAACTACCACACCACACCAACGGGAGGACGTTTCAGCTCTCGACAGATTTAACGTGCATCGCTGCCCTACACGGCGGGTCTTTAGTGGTACTGGAATCAAACTCGTGACCAGGCAAGCCACGATCCGATACCTATACCACTCGGCTACCGCGGCCATTTTAAAATATGGGATAATACCTCGAATAAATAGCTGAAAATATACCAGCATTGTACATGCATAAGTCTTGTTATTTCGTAAAAAAAGGAGGTGCGTGTTATGCGGCGAATATACCTAAAAATTAAAAAATGCACCTTGAAAGTATGGGGCGTATTATACACCTTTGCGCGCTATACGCCGGGTTTTACGGTATGTAATATTATATGTGAAAGAATCATAATATTAAGTGATAAAATAGAAAGCCATTTTCCTTTCTATATAGGGTGTTGGACTATTTTTTTTTTGTTTGCTACTTTTTATTCATTAATTAAATTAAATTATTCTAATAAAGTAGAATACAGTACAAAGAAAACACATTCTCAGAAATTAGGCTATCCCAAGTGGGATTCGAGCCCACATGCTTTGGATTAAAAGTTCAACGCGCAATCCATTGCGCAACAGCGACACACCGAGAGGTTTTCCTTTCTATATAGGGTGTTGGACTATTGTTTTTGTTTGGTACTATTTATTCATTAATTAAATTTAATGAATGAATCAACATTGAAAAAACTGTATTAATATTAAGTGTCATCCAATACAAGTCTAAACAATTTTATTTGAACTTGAGTAGATGAATAAAAAGTATTTTTTTAATGATGAAAAATTTAAACAAGACATATATAGGGAGAGTGTTAACTAAAATAGTAGGCATTCAAACGATCAGAAATGAATGTGAAAAGAACAAAATAACATGTTAATGAAAACTTCATGCAGCAACTATAAACATCATTTTCTTCCTCAAAAGCGAAACAAATCAGCAACAAACAATCATGACCACGATAGACTTGTGGTTATGTCATGAACTCGTGGCTGGAGAGTCGCAGGTTCGAGTCCCGGTGACACTGAATACCCACCATGTGGAGCGGCTGTTGTCCGTTCAATCCGCCGATACTCAACGTTCTACCTTTTGTGGAGTGTGGTAGTCAGGACACGGAGGAGGCACCAGCTCAGCTGCCGTCCTCGTCACTTAACCGATATCCATTGATAATAGCCTTCGTGATACTTTAGAGGGCAATGTCAACAAGCACTCATTCACCGGGTACTTCAGGGTTGTGATGTTCGTATTTACATGACGAAAATAAGCCTCCTGAGGGATTAGCCAACAACAAACACTAAAAATGATTCCCTCGATTTTATTTACTTTTCTATATGAAATATTTTGTTTAACAAAACAAACTGGGTTTTTAATTACATTTGCTCACGTTTCTAGAACAGTCAGAAATCTATTTTCATTCACACGTCTACATATTTAATCAATTCCAATTACAATAAAATGTTCTAATGTTTGATTTTATCTTTGTATATCTAATACAGCCTCAACACTTATTCTGTTTTGTCTTCAACAAAATGGCATTAAATTTGAAATTTTAATTCGACGGCGATACGATTCACTGGATATATTTATCAATTATTCAGGAATATCATATCACCTCCTAATCTCCTGTAATACTGCTTTAATTTATCTGTTATTTAATGGGATCTATATATGCTTATATATAAGGTAATGTTAAGCAAAAGCCACAAAGTAGGAGCTTTTTTTTAAACAAAAAATGTACTTTGCAATGAATATCACTATACGTAAAAAGGGTTGAAAATTTTAATGATATATAGAATTTCATTTTACATATTAGAATAAAAAATGCAGAATACTTCGAATTTTAAAGGCAATACGGTAAACAGTATGTATTGTAGCCACTAAGATGTACAGTAAGACCCCGCTTAACGCTGTTTCGCTTAGCGCTGTTTTGATTTAACGCTCTTTTATTTCAATTGTGGGATTCCCCCAAATTACACACAGCGGTAGGCCTCCCAATATCCGATGCAGTTTATCTATGTTTCTTCTTTCCAGCGGTGTTATACGAACGTATATTTTTATCGTTTCAAACATTTGTTAATGTTATTGTTAGTATAAATTTATATAATATAACGATTGCTATAGTGACAAATATTAGGATTTTTAGTTTTTATCATGGGTGATAGTAAAAAACACGAAAATAAAGCAACAAAAAGAAAAAAAAAAGCAGAAGCAAAATTTGCCAGGAGTCCAAAGGCAAGTCGGGGCGTTATGGATGCCTTAGCCACTTACCAACAGCTTCTTACAGAGTGCCAAAGGAAAACGTAAATTACATTAGATGCATTCTTGGTAAAAAGGCAGAAAATTGGAAATACAGAAGATACTGTATGATCTGAAATGTAAACATACGGGCTTAGAATTTTATTTATTTTTATATGTATATTCATTTATTATGTTTCTATATTTGAAGGAAATACAATTTTGTTTTATTGTTATAAAACACATAATTAATAAATTTAATGGTAAAAAACCTGGCCAATTTTCTACCCATCTTCCCCTAACCCCATTATTTACATGATGAGGTAATCTCGTTTAACGCTGTTTCATAATACGTTCTACTTTGATGGAACGTATACCCCATGTTAAGCGGGGTCTTACTGTATTTTAATATTGGGATTTTTTTGAAATAAAAAAAAATTAAAATTCTTAGATGAGAAGAGTTGCATAAAATTACCTCATTTGTATGCCTAGGAAATTAAAACACTTTTAGAGTATAACAATTTCACACAGATATATATAATTTATTCAGTAACAGAATATCCCTTCCTAATCTCCTGTAACACTGATTTTATTACTTTTTATTCAATGGAGCCTTTATGTACTCAAGTCTGTTTTTGCGCAACGCTATTCAAGGGCTAAAATAAGGACACTTTCTTGAGGTAAAAATGTGCTTCATTATGAATATTACTGTACACAAAAAGGGTTTCGTATTGTAATGTTAAATGCATTTTTATTTTAAAATGAAAAAATACATATACTTTTAGAGAATTTTAACGGGTTATTTTAGTCTAGAAGCATGAATTTTTGCTACTTTATCAGGTGCAATAAGAAAAATAATAAATATTTTTACCCGCCATTCTTTAACCAAATATTTATTATTTGAGAGAGTGCAAAAAAGAAAATCGAGTGAAAAAATTTAAAAATTTACAGCTTCATAAAGTGGGGTTTCTCAAAAAAAAAAAAAGAAATAAAGACATGTCTTGCCTGTCATGATTGTAACCCTCCTAGTAATCTGAGAGAAAAAATTGATTCTTTATAAAAAAAAAAATGCTACTATTGTATAAACTTTGAAGTAAAAAAATGAAATAAATAATGTAAAAATTTTTTTTTTTTTTTTTTTGGGGGAGGCAAATAGTAACTCTCTAAAATAAAAAGACATTTTCTTTTACCAGTTTTTTTTTGACTTTTCAGAATTTTTTAAAAATAGTAAAAACTAAAATTTTAGTATAGATATAGTTTTATATGCACGCACGCACACACACACACACACACACACACACACACACATGTGTGTGTGTGTGTGTGTGTGTGTGTAATAATTCCCCCTAGCATCCATTTCATTAACTCTTTTAATAATATTCAAATAATCTTTTAATTATTTGGTTCGAAACTAACAACCTGATCTTAATCGTAATCGACTAATATTATTACATCATAAATCCCTATCCCATCCATTGTAACCAATCAGAGCTCTTATTACAAAAATGTCACGTGGTCTTCACTGTCGAGTACAAACCGATGCTCTGGAAATCCCGCTCTCTCTCTTCGCTCGTTTCTCTGTAGTCATGTACTCGGCTGCTGTGTGTTCTGTGTTGTAGTTTCTTTGTCTGTATTGTGTAGTCCATGTTCATCGTAATTAATATGCCTAGGTGTTTCAAGGTATTCAATAAATTGAATTTACTAATGTACTGGACTGCCTCATCGATCTTTCCATAGAAAACGCATCAACATGCAGGAGTCACTCACCACCGGCCACGCCCTACCTTTGGTTAGCCATTGTTTAAATCAACCACTCGCAACGACAAATTATGCACTGCTATAGTTTTATTATGCCATATATATATATATATATATAGTACGATAAAGTAATGTATGGAGAGAGAGGCTTACATCAAATTTCAAGTAAATTGGTTCTGTATAACTTTACGTATCATGACAAGAGTCTCGAAATAATTAGCTTGTAGAAAAACGCTTTTAAAGTTTCGGGTCAAGTTACGCGCAGACTAAGCCATACAATAGTACTTTATAGTTACATTTATTATTATTATTTTATTGTATTTTAAAATACATATAAAGAGTACGAATGGTTTTACGAGGGAACACGATTGCAGGTTTAAAGAGGATCCCTATCGTCTATTGTTCGATTCGTTCCGCCCGAGCTAGTTTATATACCGCGTCACTAAAATACCTACATCTCCGAAAATAATTACAATTTTTAAAAAATCCTTTTAAGTATACATTCTTAAATGTTTAAGCTTTGAAAATATCAAAGAAAAAAATAGATTTAAAATTTCTAGTCTAGAATATCCCTTTAAATTTTAAAACGCAATATGCTAAATGCTATAGCCCCCCCCAAAATTGATTTTAATATTGGGACTTTATTTTAAAATATGAAAAGAGTTCCAAGTTCTTAGATAAGAATAAAAATCACGAAATTACCCTTATTTGTATGCCAAGAAATTTAAAACATTTCTCCAGTAGAACGAAAACAGAACTGCTGCTTTTGAAACAGAAGGAGTTGTTTTCAAGAGCTACAGAGAGATGGCGATACCTTATCATCTCACAAAGTTATCTTAGATAATACAAAGAATCTGGGTCGTGATGGAATAAATAGCTCTCACTTATCAAGAAGCACAAACAAGAAGAAACTTTTTGTAACATTTCAATAGATTAAATAAAAACTTTCAGAAATACCCAGTATTTTTAAGAAGTAGTAGAGAAATCTCAAAATGAGAGAAAGTAGGAATTTCAAAAGAAAAAATTAATTTAAAATGTACAAGAAAAAAAACTATACTTATAGTTTTGCACGTTTCATTTGGGGTCCAAATTACTACATTTCATAGGCATAGAATTTCTAAAGACTGATGCTATTTCTTATAAAAGATGTCTTATAACACAAACATCTAACACAGTGGACCCTCTATTATTTGAGATCAAATAATCAAAGAACTATCATCAAAATTTTTAAAGATTGAAAATATGTATGCATATTAGCTATTACCCACTCACTTCACTGGGTATTATATATATAGTATATATCTTGTTCAAATTTTCAATCATTAATAAAATACTTTTAATTCATCCACTGAAGTTCAAATACATTTTTTAAACTTGTAGTTCATGACACTTGATGTTAATACAGTTTTATCAACAAGTCTGTAAGTCAATATGATTTTGCGACAGTCCCAAAAAGACAAGTGCTGGACATTTTCTGTATTTCAGACTTCTTGAAGGGAGCTGAGTCAATGCGCCTCAATGCCTTGCTCATGCCTTTGTTCTCGTATATGGTTCGAATTGATAAATCCATTCATAGTTACCAGGTAAGCAGAAAA